AATTGCCGCCGAACTTGAAGCCGAACTTGCCGCCGAAATTGCCGCCGAACTACTTGCGAACTCCGCCGGAATAGCCGCCGAAGTTAAACCACCAAAATCGCACACGCAAATCAACCGCCGAATTAATGATTGCCCTGTCCCAAGCGAAACACCGCTATTTTAGTAAGCGCGATGACGCCGCGGACACAGGCATAGAGTCACAGCCAAGGTCACAGCGAAGGTCAAATTCAGTTTTGTTTCGGCGGCACAGTCCTGAATTTCGGCGGATATTTCGGCGGCAGTTTCGGCGGCGATTTGTCGGCATTTCCGGAGGCGATCTCGACGCCATTTCCGGCGGCAATTTCGGGGGCCATTCCGGTGGCCATTTCCGCGGCTCTTTCGGTGGCCCTTTCGGCGGCACTTTCGCCGGCCCTTTCGGCGGCTCGGTCGGCGGCCTTTTCGGCGGCGTTGCTTTTGCCAACTGTTGACAATGGCTGGCCGGAACTCTCGGTGCTCGGGGGCCCCGGAAAGCCCTGAGAGGGCCCTCGAAAGGCCTCGCCAAAAAGCGTCTGCGACGTAGCTCAAGCCACGCGTGAGTGGTACGCGGGTAGCATGCGTAACGTGCAAAAGGAATACCTCGCACATTGCGCAGTTCAGCACGCTCGATGTGCAAGGAAACCACCGCGCGGCAGGGCGCACCTGCACACTGCAACCGTAAGAAACTGCCGGAAACAAGTTTTACTGTGCAGGCGCGAATGGATTTCGGGCGGCGGCGGCCGAAGCGGCAACTCGTATGGGCATCGTTTCGTGCAAAGGCTGCTGGGGATACTTTTTGACTGGCGGCTTCAAGGACAGAACCAGGAAGCGGGATTGACTCGACCGGGGCACAGAGCGAGATAATTGGCTGCAGAGGCGCATAGGCCGCTGAAGCGAGTGCACATGCCAGGGACAAAATGACCTTCTTTGGGGGCTGACGCTGGCGACCCGACAAAAGGGAACGCAAGCACAGAACCGGAAGCGGATGGAAAGGAGCTGTCGCACACGTGGCGCCAAGCTCCGACCGTACCGTACAGCGCGAAAGGGCGTGGAGCACGTCGCCCTGTGGCGGCACGGGGTGGCCAGGCGTGGCCGCACCGTCCATGCAACAAAAGGTGAGGCAAAGGAACAGGAGACACACGGCGGGCGCTAGGGAACGCGGCAGCAGGAAAATGGGAAGGCACAGAGAGAAACCTCAAACACAGTGACTCACAGGACGCTCTAGGGCGTGAGAGCGACCAGTACCCAGTCGAGGACCCGTCAACAATGCCGTCTGGGTCCACAGCCTGCAACTTGTCCGACACGGAAGACTTGCTGCTGGGGATACGCGTAGCGTCAAGAATTTCCATCAGCACCATAATCAACATCCTCCTGCTCAACATTATCATCCTATTAGTGCCATCGTCCTTACCCTTATCTTCATCATCGTGATCTCCTCTGATGCGTGCGAAGGCGATCAAAGCAATTTTGTACTATCGTAACTCGCCGTGCCAGTTGCGTGGCACGAGTCCGCCTTACAATTGGCCCAGCTGCACGGAATTCTACCTAAAATGGCTGCGATCGCAGCAACAGCGATCAACCACCAACCCAAACCACTACTCCATTCGTAGGCTACACTGTGTGAGCGAATTGTTGCAAGTATCGAAGCAAAGAGGGCGCTGCATTAACCAAAATGACATTCATGGAGTGCTGGCCATCCCCCATCGGTTCACGGAATGCCGTCGCAAACGACTCGTTGAGCACGGCATGCGTATTGATGCCACGAAGCGCCTGCTTGATTGGGAAAACAAATGCTGGATGGTAGCCCAGCACAAGCCAGCAAAAGCTGGGTTGCTTAACCTGGGAGCCGACGTTGTGACGGCGACCCTGGTTCTGCAGGGCAGCGTGGAGGACTGCGTGAAGCGTGAACGTACTTGCAAAACTTCTTTTCATATGATCTACAATATTGCCGCTAGCAGCTTGGAACAGGCATGGGCTGCTACAGAGCCCAGGGCTTACATACGCACGAGGCCAGCACGCATGTATTGGATAGTGATGCGAACTGTTGGTGCCCCGCGGGGGGGGGGATAGGGACGCAGGCATAAGAAAATGTGAATCATCGAATCTGCCACTCCCGATGCAGATATAACTACTTCGAGGTAGTCGATGCTGCTACGCCCCCGCTCCGCGGTCAGAGGGTGAAAGGGAGCTAAAGTTCGCAATCCCACCAGCCCTTTGGGCGTGAGTGGTTTAGAGAGCCCGCTCTGTTCTCAACCCCCTTCTTCCCCTTCGGGGAGGGGTTTACCCCTCCCCCTACCCCCTCCCCCCTGGGCCTGGAGAGGGCGTCTCGCGGGTCGTTGGAGGGGTCTTTTTCGACTCCTGGGAGGGCTAAAATTCGACACCCCTCACGAGGATTCTGGCCCCGACGGGGGGGGGGAGAAAAGTGCTCGCCCCATCTGTGATCGATCGCCCGACAGATGGCCCCAAGATTCCTCCCAGACCCCTCCCAAAGAGTCCCAAGAGGCCCCAAGAGGCCTCCAAGAGGCCCCCAAGATGCCCCCAAGAGGCGCCCAAGAGGCCCCAAGAGGCTCCCCCGAGGCACCCAAGACGCTCCTGGAAGCCCCTGGAGCCGCCAAGAGGCCCCCAAGACGCCCCAAACGGCCTCCAAGAGGCTCCCAAGAGGCCCGAAGAGGCTCCCCCAAGGCACCCAAGACGCTCCTAGAAGCCCCTGGGGCCGCCAAGAGGCCCCGAAGACGCCCCAAAAGGCCTCCAAGAGGCTCCCAAAACGACTCACACCACGACGAGGGCCCCGAACGACTCACACCACGAGGAGCCCGAACGAGTCACACCAGGAGGAGGGGCCCGAACGACTCACACGACGACGAGGGGCCCGAACAACTCACACCACGAGAAGCCCGAACGACTCACACCAGGACGAAGAGCCCGAACGACTCACATCACGAAGAGCCCGAACGATTCACACCAGGAAGAAGGGCCCGAACGACTCACACCAGGACAAGAAACCCCAAACGACTCAAACCACGAGGAGCGCTTTCTCTCCCTCCTCCTCCGCCTCGTCCTTCTCCCGCTCCCACCACAAGGAGGATGTACAAGGAGGCGGGAGGAAGGAGGAACAGGGGAGATATGCGGGGGCAGGCGGAAACACGCCTGAAAAACACGACTGTCGGCATGCTTCGCAAGAGTTGCTGTTTTGAGATGGGCTGGTGGGGATACGCGAAGCGTAAATAATTTATGTACACATCGCCCTGTCACGGGCGCGAGGCCCTGGCCGAACAATAGAATGTCATCGCGAAAGCTGAAATGCGCCCTGATCCCGTGATCGTTCAAAAGTTTGCAAACGGAAGAGGCGTTGTTCAACCAGGCCTAACAATGCGCAATCCGCCAGCTCCCCGCTGCGTGAGAGGCCCATCCCTGAGCAAGAGACCACTTGATACACAAAATATTCCTAGTCGTCCCGGGGGTCCCGCACGAATTGGCACTGGAGCAAGAAACGAATGGCTGCTTCTAACACATTGTTGATAGCATCGCGCGTATCGAGCAATGGCACAAAAAAAACGATGTCATTCCGTCAGCGGTGCCACTCAAATAGTAATATGTCACATCGACCTTGCAAAAATGCCAAGATGCGTCTGGGCGCAGGTTGCGTGGCCTGCCAACTAAATCAGAGGTGTCACGGAGAAGGTGGGGAGCGCGCTCGCTGAGTTTATCACTGATGACAAAAATCAGCTAGGAGCTCAAACCTCCAAAAATGAAGGATGGCGTAGCGTGCGTTGGGAAGCAAACTACGTTCCCTGCTAGATTGTGACCCTTGATAAGAAGCTGCAGGCGGCAGAACAACGCGCGTGAGGAAAAACACGTTGTCTTAAACATCATTCGGGCGGCATGTGGCTGACCGATCGTTTCCGCGACCCTGGTACACAGCCTCCTCTTTGACTGCACCAGGCTAGCCAGCAGCCCGCGGGGACTGCAGGGTATGTACATAGAGGAGCTGAGGATCCTGGCCGACATCATGGGTAGGTCAGACCTAAGGACGAATGAAAAGCGACCGTTTTTATTATTAGGCAAGCAGACATAAGCGATATTGCGAAGGGCATTCGAAGCAAGCCTCTCCAAAGCACAGGTGTTCGAAAAACTGCGATAGCCGTATTGGTGGGTACGGAGCCTCCCCGTCACGGAGGCAGGCCATCGCTCCAGCAATCTCGACTCAAGGCTCGTGCCAATAGTAGCGTGAGGGGAGAATGGGGGTGACCCGAGAGGAGCGGGGGATAAGGAAGGATACGTCTTCGCCGTCGGACGGATACGTACCAAGTGAATGCTTCGCACATTGCGCAGTTCAGCACGCTCGATGTGCCAGGAAAGCACCGCGCGGCAGGACGCGCCTGCAAACCGAAACCATCAAAAACGCACTTTCGTTTGGAATAGATTTCGGCGCGCGCCCTTTTTCGTCTCCAGAGAAAGAGCCACTACGAAAGAGGCTGTCAAGAGACCCCCAAAAGGGCCGAAGAGGCTCCTCGAGGCAGCCAAGACGCTCAAAGACGCACCCGGGGCCGCCAAGAGGCCGTCAAGACGACCCAAGAGTCCTCCACAAGGCTTCCAAGATACATCCGAGGAGCCTCTGAGAGGCAACTCGTGTGGGCATCGTTTCTGGATGGGCTGCTGGGGATACATTTTGGTCGCGAGCGCAAGCGGTACAGCCACGCGCCGTCAAAGCGAAGCAACAATGCAACGGCCTAGAAGGCTGCTGGGGATACTTTTTTGTTGGCGGCTCCCAGGCGAAGGTCAGGAAGCGGTGCAACTGCTGGGGATACGCGTAGCTGATCATCATCCTCATGCTCATCATTACCATCTCATTATTACCATCATCGTCTTTACCCTCATCATCATCTTTGTCTCCTCCTCTCTCCTCCCCCTCGCTCTTTCTCCTCCTGGTCCCCCCTCATCCCAGGTCCTGGCCATCCCCGCCGGGGCGGGCGGGCGCGCGGCACCCCTGCGCCGGATCGCGGCGTCCCGCACCAGCCAGCACTCGCTTCTCGCGGCGGGCGGGCGGCTGCGGCGGCAACGACGACGCCGACGGCCACGATGTCGACAGCGACGACGACGGCGACGGCGACGACGGAACCGTCGACGACGGCGGCCGCGGGCGATCGGCTGCGGACGACAGCGACGACGGTGGCGGCGGCGAAGGTTACACCGAGGACGACGGCGGCTGCGACGGCATCGGCGGCGGCGACGATGGCGGCGGCGGCGGCGGCGGGCGGGGCGGCGGCGGTGACGGCAGCCGAAGAGGCAACGGAGAAAGCGACAACGACGGCGACGGAGATGGATCGGAGAAGAGAACGACATGAGAAACCGAAAGGCGGAATGCGTAGAAACGGGCAGTTGTGGATAAGTGTGAGGGGGTGGCGGGGTTATCGGCAGTCTGCGAGGCTCTGAAGAAGCTCGACGCAGGCGCTGACTCCCTGGTCAAAGCCATGTGGATGGATCACGGATGGGACGCGGCTGGGTCGCGGGTCGGTCGTTGGGTGGGTCGCGGGGTGGGCCGCAGGGCGGCTCGCGGGCGAGGACGGCGTCAACAACATCAACGACAACAACACCAATATTGTCGAGACTGCTCGCTGTTCTCCGCTCACGTGCCAATCAACACGTATGTCCCAAAGCCTCGAGATCCGCCCTCTCCATCTTCGATCGTACCTCCTTAGGGGTATATCTGTTTTACCTGCAACGCGTATGTCGCGCAGCCCCCGAGACAGGGGAAGAGAAAACGAATGCAAGGGAGGGACAAGGGGCTGGCGGGTTGCTGAAACGTGCGTCCTGCATCAGTTGCGGGGACTTCTCAAGCGATAGCGCGATTCCAAAACAAATCGTGAGGGTATCTCCAACGAGACCGTGATTCCTGAGTGTCGAGGGCGCGGCGTCTGAATAAATTGCGAGGAGGTCTCGCGCGAGAGCGCGATGTGGGAATCCATTGTGAGGTAGTATCAAGCTGGAACCGCTGTTATTGTAAACTGGGACCTAACATCACAGTTTGATGACACTCCACTTTCCCGTCTAAAACACTGGATGCGAGCCCCTGGCCAAGTACTCTAGCTCCAATCCGCCCGCGTGTAGTTCAACTCGTATCTCCCAAATCCTCGGTACCCGCCCTCTTCGTTTTCGATCGTGCTCCCTTTGGACTACTTCTCCCCTGCGTAGCACGCCCCAACAGCGGATAAGAGAGAGGGGGCGGTGAGAAAGGTGGGTCGCGGCGTGGGTCGCGAGACGGTCGCGGGTGGGTCGCGGGTGGGTCGCGGATGGGTCGCGGGTGGGTCGCGGGGTGGGTCGGGAGACGGTCGCGGGTGGGTCGCGGGTGGGTCGCGGGGTGGGTCGCGGGGTGGGTCGCGGATGGGTCGCGGGTGGGTCGCGGGTTGGATCGCGGATGGGTCGCGGGATGGGTCGCAGGTGGGTCGCGGGTGGGTCGCGGGTGGGCCGCGGGGTGGGTCGCGGGTGGGTCGCGGGTTGTGTCGCAGATTGATCGCGGGGTGGGTCGCGGGGTGGGTCGCGGGGTGGGTCGCGGGGTGGGTCGCGGGGCGGATCCCGGGGTGGGTCGCGGGGTGGGTCGCGGGTGGGACGACGACAACAAACAAACAACACGGTACAAGACATAATCCCACCACGGATCCCCACTTCAGCCACACACCCAGGGGCACTGAATGACCGTTCGGCTCCCTCACTCTGACCTGCCACGTGTAGGCGGCGCAGCCCTTAAAACAGGGAAAGAGGAGACGGATGGAAAGGGGAGGGAGAAGGCTGGAGCACGAGAGAGATTATCAGGAGGGGGCCAGGAGCAGAAACGACGTGGCAGAAACAAGCGGGCAGATCGGGTTGGTAGACTCTAACGGGCGGGTCGGGAAGGCGGGCCCAGGCGGCCAGGTCGCCCAGGCGGCCAGGTCGCCCAGGCGGCCAGGTCGTCCAGGCGGGCTGCTAAAGCGTGTGAGGTCTGGTTGACTCGAGAGGAAGGTTCGAGCAATATCGCGATTCCAATGTAAATCGTGGGGCTGACAAAGCGAGAGCGCGATTCCTGAGTGTCGAGGGCGCGGCGTCTAAATAAATTGCGAGGCCGTCCTTCACGAGAGCGCGATTCCCACATAAATTGTGAGGCAGTCCCACGCGCGAGAGTGAGTTTGAAATCAGCTGTGAGAAAACATCAAGCGGGAGCCGCGTTTCCCCTAAACCGTGGGCCAGCACCACAAGCTGAGCCCCAAGACCTTACCTTATCGAACAAACCAGGTGCTAAGGGTGCGAGTTCCTGGGTGAGCGCTTCAATCGACAAAAAAAACGCTACAGGCACGGGGGGTAGGTGATCAACAATAATTCGGGCATTGGGGGGGTAAACAATACATATTCAATGAGGCATGCGACAGCAACAGCGATGTTGAGGCTAGTCGTTCGTATCTGCTCGCGCGTCATTCAGCATGCATATCCTGTACCCTCGATGCTCACCTTCTTCGTCTGCGATCATACCCCTCTTTGGGGCATATGGTCCTCACCTGCCACGTGTGTGTCTGGTGCAGACCCTGAAGTAGGGGAAGGAAGGAGGGAAGGCACAGCGGGGAGAGAGAAGGATGGAGCACGACACAGATTACAGTCGAAACTGAGCCTGAAGAACCTCCTTCAAGAACATGAGACCCCCCGCTGGCCAAAACAAACAGGACACCCAAGGGCCCCCTCCCCAGGATGCAAAAGAACGTCCAACAAACACGAAGAACACCAGGGTACCCTCCCCGAACCGACCTCGATCTTATACCTCGGTCCGGCTGTAGCAGGAGGGGGGGTGGGATCAGACAACAAAGTGGCAGAACCAGACGCGCGTCCAGCGGAGCGGGTCGGGCGGGCGGGCCCAGACGGTCAGGTCGAGCGGGCGGGTTGCTGAAGCGTCAGTCGCCCATGCATCGCGAAGAACTCTCGAGCGACAGCGCGATCCCCATGAAAATCGCGAGGACATCCAAAGCGGGAGCGTGATGCCTGGGTGTCGAGCGCGCGGCGTCTCAATAAGTTGCGAAGCCGTTCGTCGCGACGAGAGCGCGATTTCCGCATACATTGTGAAGGTGTCCCGCGCGAGAGCGCGACTTTGGAATGAGTTGTAAGGAGGTATCAGGCGGGAGCCGTTGTTACAAAGGCGCAAGGCTCCCCCTAGAAAACAGCAAGGTGCGAGCCCCGGAAGGAGGAGAAGGTGGATGACGACGACGTGCGGATGACGAGAAGGATGAGGAGGAGGACGACGACAACGAGGACGGCGGCGCGACAGTGAGGACGGAGGGGAAGGAGGGCAAGGAAAAGGATCAGAAGCAGTCGGTGGCGGCGAGGAGGACAGAGAAGGGAGGAGATGGCTGATGAGAAGGTGGATGACGAGGATGATGGTTATGATATTGGTATGGTCACGAGGGCGCAAATGAGGGCGCAGGGGGACGAGGAGGAGGCAAGGACGTGGAGGACATGAAGAGGGACGACGACAACGGCGGCAGCGGGGATGGCGAAGGAACGAGGACGAGAAACCGCTCCGCTCATGTCCCCATGCTCGTGCTCCTGATCCTCCTTCCCCTCCTTCCTCAAGGGAAAGAGGGAACAGGACAAAAAAGAAGAGGCGGATTATCCGTGAGACAGACGTCTCCTGAATCGTTCGCCACATCCACAAACCCAAAACAGACGAGTGAAAGAGAAGGCGCCAGTCTCGAGAGATGGCCGAGCAGCATGCGTGGGCGCCCAGAGTTCTAGCCGCGGTCTGCCACTATCACGCTGGATGAGCTCTTTCCCAGCGTCGCCGAGGGCGAAGTCGGCATCTAGACGAGGCCAGATCGGCGGAAGAATGGGGCACCCTTAGGGCCTCGATCGGACGTTACGTAGTGTGAAATCTGAGTCTGCCCTTTCCCACAACGCTGCCAACATCATCGCGAGTATGCAGACCAGCACCTTGATGATGGCCGCCCGGAACACACGCATGGGAACAAATCAACATGGGAACCTCAACGAAGAACAGCACGATGGGCCACACGAAGACGGACACTGCCACGCGGACGAGCAGAAACACGACGGTGAAGATTAGCCCGCGAGTCTCAAAAAGGGATCAGGAGAACCAGCATGATCTAGACCGTGCGAGTCAGCGTGCGCACCTCCAGAAGGTCCAGACCGAGCACCTCCATAGTTGTCATCGGGAGCACCTCCATCATGAACGGCACGAGGGGGGTCCCTGAAGACCAGCACGCGCAATGTTTGCTGACGATGAATAAGAGAGCACGGGGGAAAAGATTGATAAAGAGTTTCGAACCTTCGACTTCCGCTTCTCTTCGGCTCCGTCTGGCCTCTGACTGTCCAGGTGCGCGCCCGAGGTGCGCGCCCGAGGAGCCTCTGATCATCAGTCTTGGCGCCGCCGTGAGATCACGACCCCCGGTAATTTCTTAACCATCATCCTGCAGTGCTCCCATGAGGATCGCCACGAGTGCTGCCGCAAAGAACAGCACGAACATCGGCAGAAGGACTTTCCCCGGCGAAGGGCACCTCGACGAAGACCGGCACTGCCAACTTCACGGCGGACGGAGCAGAAACCTGCAGGCCGCGCATCGCTCGGCTGGACGAAAGACTGACCCTCTGCTTTGGTCGGGCCTGTCCCCCTACAGGCTGATTTTCGACGAAAAATTAGAGATACCCCAAAAATGTTCGAAGATGCTCAAAAATGTTTTGACTAGTTTTGGATATTCCTCCTGCAGCGGGACATGCCCGACATAACCCTCGGCAAGAGTGACCTTTGGTGCGCGCCTCTCGGGGACAGCGGGGGGCCGAATCCAGGCGGGTAAGCCGCCTGAGGCCGGTGCCGGGGGGCCCCCGTGGGCCCGCACCAGAGGGCCCTCCGGCGAAGGGTCGCTCTTAGGCTGAGCCGGTGCAGGAAGGTCCGCCCGGCACTCCGACTTCCAAGCAGCACCGTCGCCGTGAGGATCCACGTGCACGCGCACCACCACGAGGACCAGCACGATCAACTCCACGAGGGACAGCGTATCACACACATGCGTCGAAACATATTGCTGTAAGACTTCTCAGTTGTTCTGTCTGCCTTCGACCTCGCAAGACCCCCCAACAAAAAAAACCACCGGGTGTCGGGGGACGCCGAGGAACAAGACAGTACCGTGGGGCACCTGCTGGCAGGCCAGCAGTCTCACTTGCTGTGCCTAGTGTATGGGACACATATCGAGGAGGGAACCGCTGCACATGTTCAGTTCAAACTTTCATAGGCCCACGTCGGCAACGGCGGCGGCGGCGACGAGACGCCGCTCCTGTTGGCCTCCTGGAATACGGGGCACGCGTTCGGGAGCTCGAGGGTGGTGTGGCCCAAGGAGTTCCTAAGGGGGGGGGGGCGTCGGTTTTCCAGACCCGTCGCTAATCGCCGACGCTCCTCGCCGCCACCTCTTCCTCCACGGCCTGCCGCCGATGCTGCCTGTCCCATCTCCTCGCCCTCCTCCGTCGCACTCCCCCATCATGCTCCGTCTTCGCATCGTCATCTCCTCCTCCTCCTCCTCCTCCTCCTCCTCCTCCTCCTCCTCCTCCTCCTCCTCTTCCTCCCCCCCTCCTCTCCTCGCGTGCCGCTTCGCATCAGTCCCGTTCCCGTTAACGTTCCTCCTCTCCTCGCGCCATCATAGCCTCATCTCCTCCTCGTCTTCCTTCAGCGTGCTGATGCTTTCCGTGGTTTCCTCCATATACTACCCCGCCTTTTCAATGTCAGATCTGTCCTTTTCGTCGTCATCCGAATGTTCCCCCGCCACATCGTCCTTCATGCTCCTCCTCCCCCTCCTCCACCATCTCCCTTCAATTCCTCCTCCTCCTCCTCCTCCTCCTCCTCCTCCTCCTCCCTCCTCCTCCTCCTCCTTCCCACCATCATCACCACGTCCATGTTCTGCCCTGCACTGCACTGCCCAAGCTGCCAGACCCTACCCCACACTGCCCAGCCATACCCTGCCATCCTGCCACGCTCATGGCCCGCATCTCCCCCTCGTGGTCCCTGCCCGAAGCCGCCCAGACGCCAAGTGATAGCCTCGGGCCGCAACGGCACGGCCGAGGCGTGCAGCTGGGCCCGCCGTCCTCGACCCTCCAGGCCACGGCCCGCGGGGTCATGCCGCCTTCCCTCCAGGCCACGCCACGGGGGCGACTGCCGCCTCCCCAGGCCACGCCCCGTGGGGTTTTGTCGCCTCCAGCCCCCCGCATCCAGGCCACTCCCCGTGGGGTAATGCCGCCTCCGCAAGCCACGCCCCGAGGGTGATGCCGCCTCCGCCCCCCCTCCTTTCCCGCCCCCCCTCCTTTCCCGCCCGCCCGTCCCCTGGAGCTCGAAGTCCCCGTCTTGCGAGCTGGCGTCTGCCAGCAAAGGGCCCAGAGCCCCCAGGACCTTGTCCTTCAGAAGTGGTGTCGCCGACCGCACAACGGTGATGGTCGAGACCTCCAGCCACCTGACGGGGTTGAGGTTCTTCTCGCCGCCGTGAGTTTGATCTTTCGCTCCACATGTATGCGCTTTTCCATTGCTATGTCGACGCTCGAGCAGTGGTCGGCCATGGTGCTGCTGAGGGCCGAGGGGCTGGCCTGCATGCCCTTCAGACTCCATGACTTCATAGCGAGCGCTCGGCACGTAGCGTTTGACCTCCTCAGCGTCCTCACCAGCAAACTGAGCACGTTGCCCTCCGCCCGGGCGGGGGCCAGCGGGGCCAGCAGCTGGGCCTCCCAAAGCGATGAGGGCGTCGTCGGTGCAAGACGAGACACGCGGGGCGAGGCCAGCGGGGGAGGAGCCGCCAGTGCCAGCAGGGTCTCCAGCCCTCCTGCCTCCAATCTCATGCTCAGCCAGTGCGTCATGTCCACGAGAGTTATTTGAGACTACAGGAAGCTGTCGCCCACCATGACGAAGTCCAAGGGGGAGTCTCGACCGTTCTTCCTGTCGCCCGCCTCGTCACAGTTGTTCCGGCCCAGTTCTCGACCATCGCGCTTGGCGCCTTCAGTAAGATGACCACGACGCGGTCGAGATGGCGCGGTTCCCAGCAGCGCAGTCAGGGAAAGCAGGCGGATGGGACAGAGCAAATGCGAAGCAAGCGACGTGGCCTCCTGGCGGCCACAAAAGCGGCTCGGGCCAGCTGCTGAGGAGGGTCCACAGCTAATCGCTGATGCTCGGACGTCTATCATCCCTCATAACGTTTGACCTTAGTCCAAATATCTACGGATATATATATATATATATATATATAGATATATATTCCTGCGCCTCCTCTTCCTAATCCGTCTCGTCCAGAACCTCCTACCTCTCCTCCTCCTCCTCCTGCGCATCATTCCGCCTTCTCCTGCTCTTGCTGGTCCTGTTGCTTCTTCTCCTCCTCCTCCTCCTCCTCCTCCTCCTCCTCCTCCTCCTCCTTCCTCCTGCTCCTCCTCCTTCTCCTCCCGATCCTCCTCTTCCTCATCCTGCTCCTCATCCTCCTCCGCTTCGCTCCGCCTTCCCACGCTTCGCTCCGCCTTCCCACGCCTTCCAACGCTCCTCCTTCCCCTTCCCACGCTTCGCTCCGCATTCCCACGCAGCTGCAGCAGGCGAGCCTGTGGCGAAGCTCGTCTGCGACTGGAGGGGCCAGACGGGAAGCGGTGGTGCAGCCGCTGCAGATGGGTCGAGCGCGCCAGCGAGTGCCCTGGCTCGATCGTCTCGGCGGCGCTCAACCACAACGAGGTGCTGAAGCAGGCTGGCCAGGACGCGCACATGCTGGTCAAGCTCAGGTCCCAGCGCGAGGCGGACCTGGTGCGCGAGATGCCCGTCGTGGTGTGCGCCGCCTACGGGGTCATGGGCTCTGCGAGGGCCTCCAGCTTCGCAGCGGCCTGCGGCCACCCCTCCGCCAAGGGGAAGGCCGCCATCGCCAAGCTCGCCAAGAAGCTGTCGCCAGCGGTCTCGGGCAAGATCGCGGTGTCCATCGAGCCGCTGGCAGGCTGATGGCGGCGTGCGGAGCCCGCGGGGCCGTCGCACGCAGCGCACGCGGAGCGTGCGGGCGCTGGCGCACGCTGGCGTGAGAGCCTGCCGCCGCGCGTGGGGCGCGTGGCGCGCGGGCGTGCGGGGGGGGCGGCACCGCTCCTCCTGAGGCTCGCTCATCAATCCTCCTCCTCCCAAGAAGAGGCGCCACATTGCCCCTCCCCCCTCCCCGAGTCGGGTCCGCTTGCCCGTCGCGGCCGAGCGCACAGCACCCGCCTGCGAAGCGAGGCGGGGGGGAAGCAGACCGGGACAGACGACGCCTCCCGGCGGAGGTGAGGGCGGTATATATCTTCCTCTCGGTGGTGGAAAAACCTTCCTTTAGTACACCTCCCCTTAGTAAAAGCGGCCAGTTCCTTAACCGACGTGTCAGGGTAGGAGGTCTGTCCACCTCCGTTCCCCCTCCTCATCAGCAGGATCACCCGCAGCAGCAACAGCATCAGCACCAGTCTCATCAGTATTCGCAACATCACCGCCATAATGAGCATCAGCATGACCAGGGACATCACAAGCATCCACAGCACCATTACAATCACCATCGCAAGCAACAGCATCACCATCAGCAGCATCAACATGAACGGCATCATCATCGACATCAACAGCATCAGCATCATCATCACCACCACCAGCATCATCATCATCAGCATCATCAGCATCGTCATCATCACCAGCACCATCAGCATCATCGCCATCGTCATCTGGATCACCATCAACGTCAGCATCAGCAGCATCAGCATCAGCAAAATCGTGATCATGAACATGATCAGCATCACCATCATCGTTAACATCATACGCCTCGTCACCACAGCATCATCGTCAGCTCAAGCATCGACATTAGCACCTCAGTCATCGTCAGCAAGAACATTATCAAAATTAGTATCAACATCAGCATCGGCATCATCATCAGCATCATCACTATCACCATCACCTGCACCAGCACCATCATTATAATCGTCATCGCAATCATCGCCATCATCAGCATCATCAGCGTCATCATCAGCATCGCCATCGCCACCACCACCATCATGATCACCATCATCGTCATTATCATCACCACCATCAGCAACTTATCATCGGTATCAGCATCAGTAGCATCATCACCACGACCATCATCTTCATCACCCCCATCAGCATCATACTGTTTATCACCACCGCCACCAACGGCATCATCAGCATCATCATCATCCTCATCAGCATCATCACCATTGTCGTCAGCATTATCATCCTCATCATCAGCATCAGCACCATTGTCGTCAGCATTATCATCCTCATCATCATTATCATCATCAACATAGTCATCATCATCAGCATCATCATCAACATCATCAACATCATCCTCATCATCATTATCATCATCATCATCATCATCAGCATCAGCATCATCAGCATCATCAACATCATCATCATGATCATCATCACCATCATCATCATCATCATCATCATCATCATCATCATCATCATCATCATCATCATCATCATCGTAATCATCATTGCGGAACCAGCTAGGCACAGCAAATGTCTAACTGACCCCCGTGCCTGTATCCCCCGCCTTCGTCCGACCCGATCCTCCTCATCAAGGTCTCCAGAGGCGTCCGGAGACCTCCTAGCCTTGCTCCCGCCCGCAGCAGGCGCCCGGGAAACTGGCCAGCCAGCAGCTGCCTCGCCAGAGTTTCATGTTTCTCGTAGGGCCTGGGGGTCCCTGGGGTACGGATCGGAGCTCAGGGACGACGCACACCGTGGCTAGAATCCTTCTTGCGTGCCCGCCGTGCTCGCTCCTCCTCCTCTTCCTCCTCTTCCTCCTTCTCCTCCTCTGCCCTTTCCTCCTCGTGCGCATTCTCCTCCTCCCTCTCTTCGTCGTCGTCGTCCTCGTCCTCCTCGTCCTCCTCCTCCTCCTCCTCCTCCTCCTCCTCCTCCTCCTCCTCCTCCTCCTCCTCCTCTCACTCGTCCTCCTTGTCCTCCTAATCCTCCTGCCCCTCGTCGGCGGGGTCGCGAAGCCAGAGCTCGGAATGGGAAGGCGTAGCGGCGGGAGCCTCTGCTGGAAGTCCCCGCGGGTGGGAGATCGCCAAACACGTCCTCGGATAGGAGGCGACCCGGCGGATCCATCTTCGGGGTCCTCGGCTGGCGGAGGACATGGACACCTTCGGGCCCTGGGGGTCCCGAATACATCCACGCCCGCCGCCTGCCGAGGCCACCGAAGATCGATCCCCGGGGCGGTGGCGATGGAGGACTTCGGCTGCGCGCGAGTGGTGACCCCAGGCAGAAGAGACCTGTGGTGCGCGGCTGTGGGGGAAAGGCGGGGAGGGGGGGGGGGGGGGGGGCCGCGCTGGGCGCCGGTATCGCATCGACTTCAGCCATCGGGGGACCCCGGAGGGTCTGCAAATAAAGGTCACTCTGGAGCAGGAGGAGGAGGACGAGGAGGGGGAGGAGGAGGAGGAGGAGGAGGAGGAGGAGGAGGAGGAGCAGGGCCACTCCGACGTGTAGCCGATGAGCCCCCGCCTCGCAGGTCGATGCCGGCACCGACCCCACGCGGCCCGCGGGCCTCGGCCCTCGACCCGTGCCGCAAGAAGACGCGCGCTGCGCTGCCGTTCCTGGCCGCCTCTGCGCTGCCAGGGCGGCGGGGGGCGCCCCCGGACCGTGTGGTGACGGACCGCGTGGTGACCTCGGAATCGCCAGAGACCTCACCGCGCGCGGACTGTCACCTGTTTCTGGGACCTCGGATGCCCAGGTCCAAACAAAGCTGTACGGCGACCCCGAGTCCCCGCTGACTGGACTCACCGCGCGGTGTGGTCACAACACCGTTCCCTGGGCCCCCGACAGGTGAGGAGCAGCGTCAGGGGGTGACTGGCCCCGGGGGGGGGGCACATCGACGCGGTGCATTGCCGATAGACCGGCGATACGCCCACAAAGGCGAACACGCAAGATCCGAGGTGGGGTGGGTTATCGGGCCTCTATCGGCGATCAATGGACGATCGGGTGTCGATGCATCCCCCCTAATGTTGTGCCCACCCAACTTTGCCCCTGATGGGGAGGGGAACAACTTCCGGCACGGGTGATCTCGTGGGCGGGACGCGTTACCACATCCCCGGCCTCGCGATCTGGACTGGGGCTTGCGATCCCGCGGGTACGCGGTCCCACTGGACACGCTCGGCGCTGGGCATCCGCGAACAAGGTGCCGCGTATCCATGGGGGCGCGACCCAGGGGCCCAGCCCGCGACCACGCTGGGAACCTCAGACCTCGCCCCTCACCCGGGGCTCGCTCTGACCACGTCTCCGAAGCGAATCCAGCCGTGGCAACGACGGCCTCCCAGGCTGCCGAAAAAAAAGGCGAAACGGGCGAAGGGCACCAGTATCCGTACCTTCCTCCTCCGACAGGTTGCTGGGCACGGGCTATCCAAAGATCGCAAGCAAAATCGGACGCGTCCGAGTCCGAGCCCACTTCGATGGGGAGCGGACTGACGCGTCGAAGCCTCGCCTCTGGGTCCTGACCCGGGCGGGGTGGGCCTCCGCGAGGCCAAAAGAATCCAGGATCTGCTCACGGGGACAGTAGGGCCCCGCCGGAAGCTGGCGTGGCTGGAGAGGGCGCCCTCTTCTTTTTTATGTTTGTGTCAGGGAACCCGCAAGGCGCCACATGTCTCCAGTCCGACCACCATTCACACGCAACCTCAGCCAGCCTGCCAGGCCCGAAGCGAAACTCTGGGCACGCACAGTGAGGGAAGGGCGCCCGAAGGGGGTAATTGGGGGCGCACGAAGGGGGTAATGGGGGGAAGGGGGGGGCTTCTTAGAAGGTGGCTGTTTCTCAGAAGGCCCTGGGCCTACATCCACAGGCAAGGTCCGCGCCTTCTGAGAGAGCAGGGTGCTTCTAAGAAGCCCCCCCCCTCCCCCCCCTCTCGTTGCGCGTGGCCGACTCCTGGGCCCCAGGACCTTCCGCGCGGCGCGCGACCGGCGATCGAAGTGAAACGGTGGCGGAAATCGGCAGCCGAGTCGGAAAAGTCGAATCAGCGGGAATCGGCAGGATGGTAGGCCTTCGTCGAGGAATCGGCGTCCAAATCGGAATCGGAACTCGAATCGGAATCGGAGGCCACCGAAATCGAGTGGAATCGAATAGGAGGGATCGAAATGAGCCCTGGGAGGAGGCCGACCTCGCGAAGGGCGGCAGCAGCGGCGCGGTGCACGGGAGCGTGCCCTGCGCCGGCAGGCGCGGGCGGCAGGGCCGCCGAGGAGAGCTGCCGCCACGGGCCCCCTCGCCGAAGGCCGGGGGCCACTGGGCGGGCAAAGAAGCGGCAGCCCCGGGTGGAGGTCCCAGGCCCGCTCGCTGGTCGTCGATGCTGCCCTGGCGCGTATGCGAGGCACTTCTCGGCCGCCCTGTCCGTCCTCTGCCTCCTCCTGCCGGCTGGCCAATTCGCTGTTCGGTGCCGCCGTCTAGCTTCATCGCTGGTGCAGCCATGCTGCCTCGCCGCCGACGGAACAAAAATTGCGCGGGACGCCCTGCAGCAGGCATCTTGCGCGGCGGTGGACTGTTTTACCAAGGTGCCTCGCGTTCTGAGTCGCTCGGCCGTTCGCGCCAGGGCGCCGAGCTCGGCAAAGTACGAGAAACGGGAGGGTACCCCTCCATGGAAAAGGGATGCCCTTCACCCTTGCGCCAGCCGCAGCACGAGCAGAAGGGTACAGGTGCATTGAAATTTTGGTTTCGATGATTCTCGGAACGTGTGCTAGCACCAGCGTGTGTTTGTCCACCAAGATCCTTGAATACTCGGCGGTGGACAAACCTCCCTTTAGTAAACCTCCCCTTAGTGAAAAAAGCCTGGGACCGAAACTGGCGGACCTGGACCCGCAAAAACGACGGCCGCGACGCCCTCTCGCGAACCGAAAACGGCCAATTCGCTAATCGACCTTTCAGGGTAGGAGGTTTATCCACCCCCGAAATACGACGCAGGCGGCTCAACGAGGGCCGACACAGCCTGCTTACCCCGCTCGGCTCTGTGTTGGCCCTCGTTGAGCCGTCTGCGTCGTGTTCAAGGGCCGAACGGACGCGGTGGACAAACACACGTTGGTGCCAACACACGTCCCAGAAGGCTCGGAAGGAAGGAAACACACGTTGGTGCCAACACACGTTGGTGCCAACACACGTCGGTGCCAACACACGTCCCAGAAGGAGAAGGCCTTCTCAGAAGGATCGGAAGTCCCCCGGTCTTTTGAGACGTTGTCCTAGCATTCCCCGA